CTACTTCCTTCATATTTTTATTCAAAGATCCATATATTATAGCTTTAAGGTTCCATAAAAGTTTGACCTATCAAATAGTTTATTCTTTCAAGTAGTTCCGCCTTTTCCGAGAATATCTTGGAGGGACCCGAATTTATGTGCCCAATAAAAACTACGACCGACCAATTCCAATGGTCCGTTCTCGTTTCGGTTCGTCAGCCGGTACCGCTAGTAATTCGATAGTTCTAATGGCGGCCATTAGACCGAACCGTGCGTCGTCCCACCAATGAATGGCGTGACCTTCGCTACGAGTTAGTCATTCACCGTAGACAATAGAAATGTTTTCAGTGACAGTGCGTTATTAAAATGGTAATTACTGCTTTTTTTTACCAATTTCGAATCGGTTCTTTGTTGTGCCGCAATCGCCGATTGCACCCGCCGCGCTTGGCCTCAAGCTTTCCGGTCAAATTAGTAGCGATAAGTTTTTGTTTATGTAATTCCGAATAATTTGGAAGGGGGTTATTATCGAAAGGTTGAAACTCATAAAAAAATACATTGTATGACCTCGACTTATTTTGTATTTGTTGAAAAAATAAACGGGTACTGCTATTTCTCCACTAAAACAGACGTCGAGAAATACTAAAATATATTTTTTTTATAAAATAGGTACCACTAGTTAGAATCCAATCCTAAACTAGGCTGTCTGTGACTTTTACTGCGAAAACAAATTTGTCTAATCAACAAAAAAATACTTGAAGATTCGGGATTCAGGCGGTGGATATATGCATACTCTGTTTTTTTTTGTTCTCAGGTAAGATTTCGACAGACGATGACAGAAAAAAAGCAGATGACGGGTCATACCAATCTAATTATTTCACTAAAGAAAGTTTCTAATATTTTTTAAGTTAACTATGTATGTATGGGTTTATATATAAATCCGTCATGCGTCGTCTTTTGTTTTTTCTCTCTCAGTTTTATTGGTTTATTTCTAAAATGACAGATCATATTTCAAAATTATTGGAGTGACGGAACGATGAACAATGCACAGGCGCGGACGCGTATGAACTCGACTTAACATTTTTGGGGCTTGTCAAACTCTTGCCAAATTATAGGTTATAATTTGTGTCAAATTATGTCAAATAACCTGCATTTGGGAAGATGATGCATTTTTTGAAGTTGAGTGGAGTTAAGTTTCAAGTTAAGTTTGAGACGCACTCCGGATGCGTCTAGAAAGTGGCTCACCCCAACTTTTTTTATTTTTTTCAGACTAAAGAACGAGTTTTGGTATGTTAATATATGACATAAATTAGGATTGATTGACGTATTCAATTGTTTTTAATTACTTCCTGTTTCACCGCAAATGACTACAACTTTTGATTTTTAAATGGCACCCTTGGTATATTTCTACTTTATTCGATAGAAAGTGACACTCTGAATAGAATGACATATCATATGTCAACTTTTGACATTTTTGCTTAAAAACAAATCGTATTTTAAATTTCAATCTAGAGTGCAATGGCTGTGTTAAAAACACTAATTTTTAATCAAGGAGCTTTGGAAAAATAGTTTTGATCGTCTAATGTTTTTCGTGTCTTGTCCTCTGGCCGGTTAAAAGACCTGACCAAATCGTATCTTTAATCCTATTTCAATTTTTTGAAATGGAACATGGATGGCTCATTAGCATTTTTGGAAAAAACATTTTTTACGGATAATTTGGTACCACATACTTGGTATTTCAAGTCAAATTGTCATTATGAACCGCATGTTACAATTTCAAATAAACTATATGCAAAAATGTCAAAAATTGACATATGATAGGTATGTCATTCTGTTTAGAATGTCATTTTCTATCAAATGGAGTAAAAAAAATACCGAGGGTATCATTTAAAAATCAAAAGTCGTAGTCATTTCCGGTGAAACAGGAAGTTACTTCAATGTAAAACAATTGAATACGTCCATCAATCCTAATTTATGTCATATACTGAAATACCAAAATCTCGTTTTTTTATCTGTAGAAACAAAAAGTTATAGGGGTGAGCCACTTTTGATACTCACCCGTCAAGAGATACGAATTCGGTTAAATAAGACAAAAGTTGCGTTATTATAGAAGCTTGACAAATGTCTGTAAAGAAAGCTTCCGTATCTTGATTAATTTCCGATTTAGGTATGTAAAAAATGAACAAATATGTTTACTTAAAATTACAATATCTTTAGAACTACAATGATATATTGTTTTACCGAAATTTGATGAAAATATATATACCTACACAAATGCTAATAAGTCTTTAATTGCCTGTTAAATGTGGGTCAATATAATGCACAACACTGTACTTATTAATAACTAATTAAACTCTATTACTTTGTTATGAATTAAAAAACAGCTTTGTAATTTTAACCCGTTAGATATATTAGAAACTTAACTGAAATGTCAAGGTTAAATAACACCTTATAAATTTATCTACACACTTTGACATTTCCTGCAATAGAAAAAAGTTTGATTTTTTTAAAACTTAATACTATTGCCTTTGATTTACCTATGTCAATTGAGATAAAACAACTCTTAGTATACAATATGATATTGGGACTCTAAGTGATGCTTAGACTTTTGGAACAGATTTATTAATTCATTATTCATGAATATAAACTAAATTTAATAAATCTTTGTTTGAATAATTTAATTCCTGGCATGTTTTATTTATAATTGTTAGTAAGTATATCTTTACTGATTTTTTAGACAGGCCATCATGGCTAAAGTTTATCTAATGAGAGAGTACGTATACTCTATATATACGTAACGCAGTGACAGCTGTTGTCTGTCATTGTAATTCACAGATAAAGTGTATTTGTGTGTAATGACTATACTATAAAATCCCGACATATTATGATCACTGAAACACAAAATTTAAAATCCAAATATGGCTAAAAACAATTTCGGGATGTTTTTGGCGTGTACGGAAGAATTTACTGTTCCTATATTATTATAAATTTTATTGAAAGTTTTAAGTTAGTTTTTAATAAAACTAAAATTTCTTTTTTACACAAATTTAAATAATCTCCAGGGTCAGTTTTAAATAAAAAGTGCAAATATTTTTAAGGATGGTATATTTCGACTCCAGAAACATATCGTATGCGGTTTTTTTCGCGAAAAAAAATTGAAAATGTTGTATTTTTCGAAAAGAAAATTTAGATTTTTTTATTATTGGTTAAAAAACATACCTAGTATCTTGATAATATGGCGACATATGGAGACTACTACATTTAGAAGAACGGACACCCAGTAAAAATGTGGTTCTCAAAATTTAAGCAATTTTTTTTTAATTTTCAAAGTAAAATAACTCGGTTATTTTGGACTTAACTGAAAAACGATAAAGGAAAAATACAATTCCAAGGAGATGTACCAGACTTTTAAAAACATTTGCACTTACTTAACACTTACCATGTATATCTAAGATTGTCATGTACTACAATAACTTCAATTAAAAGAATATTTTCATACCATTAAATGAAAGATTTTTTTATTTTGTTAGTTTTATTTGTTAATGGTCTAAGGCGGTTTCTTTGAAGACGAAACAGCGCCATATGCTCTCTATTAATTGACTAAATGAATAGGCTTAAGTACCGTATGATCGCAAAAAATCGGCGTCAAAGGCGGTTGGAGAATGGCAATCGATGATAATTTTGGCGAGGTCAATCTCTAGACGTCATTTACAAAAATTGACATAAAACTTGTGCAAAATTAACACTAATTACGGAATAATTAAAAAAGAATAGAACATTTCCATAAGTCATAGCGTTATCGCGCCACTTTTCATCCGTAAATTTTTTATTCCGGTCCGTCAACGGAGAAAGATCGTACGGTAAAGGACGCCTTGACACTTTTTTGACGAATTTAACCTAACCCCAATAAAAATATAATAGTATAAGAGCTAGCAACGCGTCGCACGTCGGGAAAACAGATTTTGAAAACAGGGCTGGAACTCAGTAACTAAATGGCGATCGGAATCAGGCGGTGAAGAATACTGACCTTGGCCGCAAACTAAACTGACAACGACATTATTCTTCATCGCTACCGAGTGCTATTTCGTTACAGAGTTCCACCTCTGGTTCTTTAATATATATTTTGGTATGCTCTTGTCTGACCAAAGCATAGATCGTCTGGTTGCCGTTAGACTACTGCGCATCACATCTGTACAGGGTATTCCATTCTCGTGTTGTTTATGGGATTTCTCGTTTATGAGTGGAGATAATGATGCGATTTTTCACATTACATTGCTACTTTTTATGAAACTAAATATTCCACACATTTTGTTTGTCCTAGCCTCCTTAGTTCCTGAAATACAGGGCCAATTTGTGATGCCTTGATGAGCAGATGTTAAATACCTGCAAATCATAAATAAAACGTCTACCGGTCGTCAGACGGTCGGCACTGTTCAGAGAGCATAGCGAAAGATATATTACAACTTAACAAGTATAGCTAGAGACGTGGGAAATATAAAATAACTTACGATAAGTTACTATCCCCAAGTCTCTTTCTCACGCTGCTGTACGCTAACCTAACCTAACCAGTTCTCTTAAAATTCCCTATCGTTGCTATCTCTTAGACCAGGGGCGGATACAGAAATTTATTTAGGGGTCAAAATATAAAGCAATGTAGAATATGCTTTTTTAAGGGCGCCATTTTAGCGCCAAAAGCCTAATATTTTACACAATTTCCAGATTTTATGGGGGGCGAGCCTCATGCCCCCCTCTGTATCCACTTTACTTAAATGCTCCACTGTCTTAGACTATAAGTAAAACAGCGAAATCTCGTTATGAAAATGAAAATATAAAATTACACCAATCACAAGCACATCGTATATCCGATGGACGGAGACATATGAAAATGCAATAAATTTAAAAACTGCCCAATTTTCTAACCAATCAGAGTCTTTAAATTCAACCAATCAAATTAATATCGTATCGTCCGGATAACGGATAATGACGATGAATGAAATCAGTATTCTTAATTGTTTTTGGCTTACCAGCACCCCGTGCTGCGCTACGTGTTCACTATCAGTTTGCCGTCCCCTTCAGCGCAGAAGATGCACTTGCTCTGGGCGCGGTGCTCGGTGTCGGCGTCTCCGGCGTCGTTCTCCTTGGCATCGGCGGCCACGGCGGCGGCGCGCGCCGGTTCCTCGGCTGACGCGCCTTCCTCCTCCCTCCTCGCCCTCCTCTTTCGCAGTTGTTTTCCGACTGAAAAAGAAACAACGGACAGTTAAGTATAATTATGTCCATTGTTGTATTATGTTTTATAGGGTTTCTTTTTCTGAATAGCGATACAAAGATGCGGTTTCACATCACTTTACTGCTCTTTTATAAAACTAAAGATACTAAGATTTGTCCCTTGGTTTCACAAAATACAGGGCAGATTTGAAAATGTTGCATTGAGAACAAACATCTACGCAGAAGAACAAACTTCTACGCTAATTAAAACCACTAATTTATTCCACTAATTTGGAGATTTTGAATGAAGCTTGAGTCCCATAGAGTTTTGCATGTAGAACTCAGTGGCGTCACTAGATTTTCGCTGGGAGCTCTCATTCTTGAAATACTACCCAAACTTACGTTTTTTTTAAATGGAATACCCTGTATTATATTATTTTTTATTTTATTTGATTTGTTAGGAGCTTTCTAAAAATATACCACAGTCTATAATTATAATAAGTCATAAATAAGCTAAAAAATTCATTATTTAAGTTTTTAACATATACAGGATGAGTCTTAAATCAGTGCAAATATTTTGAGGGGTAGTATATTTCGACCCTAAAACGCTTATGGATTTTTTTTTGTGAAAAAAATTGACAAACACCTCACTGTAAAATTACATACAATAAACAAAAATTCAATATTCCCATAACAATTCATTAAAATTTAACTTTGAAAAATTAAAACAACCCTTTTTCCTATAAAAATATACAGTCCTATTATAAAAATCTAAAGGTCAAAGTCTAAACAATTAAAGTCAAACTGTAAACAATAAAAAATCTATAAAACAAAATGAATTTTTAATAACTTTATGTTCTTGTAAGTTCTAGGTGGGTAGTGTCCTCCAATATTCTCCCTCAACCTAACCGCCCTTTTTTAGATTGATTCTTTGATTGTTATTGTCATGGAAATAAGTTTCAGGAAAATAACAAAAGTCGAAAAATCCAAATTATTATTTTTAATCATCGAATCAATTGAAAGAAAGTTTTTGTGTCTCGAAATTGGAATGTAAATAAACTAGCTGGAGTCTTTGTGAATTGAAACTTCATTGGAAGATATAAACCATTTGAATGTCAAAAAATTCACTTCATTCACAAATAAAAGTTAGTTTTTGGTATACCGGGTCGCTGTTATGTATGGAAACGGCCGATTATTAGGTAAAATATACAAGGTACCGCAAAAAGTTAAATACAACATTTATCTATAGGGTTTTTAAATGTCTATTGGCTAGTAATAAATTTATGTATACAGGGTCGGTTATAAAGTCGTGGTATATCAAAGTTTCATTTTTTTAAATGGAACCCTCTGTATATTACTGCATAAAAAAAAAGGAAAAAAGGAAAAAAGGAAAGGATTTATTGACACTGATTCTGAAGTTAAGTTGATAAAATGTTAATCGAATAATCAAATGAAAACTTAGACTTGTTTTCATTTCCCCCTTGGATACACCGCGTTGAGGAAAATGAAAACACATGTTTGGAGCAAAGAAAAAAGGAAAACATGTTTCCTTTTACCTAAAGTCACTACAGAGGTGCCAGATCTCACCATAAATCACTCACGATTTTGTATCAAATCTCATGATCTCACGATTTTTTACGTTTCACCAATTAAAAAGTAACTGCTTTCAGAAATATTAAAATATCTAAGATACTGACTAAAAAGCGAAGTTCCTATTCATGAGTTTATTAATATTCATTTACCCCATGGTCACCTCAATTGTTATTCATAGCGAAAACCAAGCTGTGTGTGTTTTTATTTACCCCAATGTGATGGGAAAATATTCATGGGGTAAAATGGGATAAAAACACATTAAAACAATCTTTATCTCTACTTCCATAAAAATTATCATGTTTTTTGATGAATATTTTCACATACCAAGCTAAGAAGGAACCGCATATGAAAACCAAACCAAAATACAGTTCGGACCACCCTGTATAAAAAACTAGAAGCACAGAATATACAGGGTGTTTCAAAAAACATGCCATTCCTCGCGTAAAAATATGATTTATTTTTCATATCAACGTATAAATAAACGTAAAATATAATAAATTATATGTTTTACCTAATTTATTATTAAATATTATTACTATTAGTCCAGCCTACAGCAATTTCAAATAAAAAAATAATGGTATTTAAGGTAATTACAAAAAAATCTAATTTTAAAAAGTTTTAACATCCTGTGACTCTAAAACTATGCATTTCCATACCCATATTTATAGGAACTTTTTTATATTTTTTGATGAGGAATCAATGAGTACTTATTTAAAGCTTTCGCAAGTTAATGAAATTAAAATTTATTAAAGGTTGCTATTAGACTTGGATCCAGGCAAATTAATAAAATTGCGTTTATTTCATCAAGGAGGCCGAAATCGACAAAATATCAAGAGACAATTTTTGATCGGCATTAAACTGCTTATACTATTTCGCTAACAAGAGAAAAAACTCAGTGGCGTACATGCTTTTTTTAGAAAAGTATTCCAGTGATAACCCATATGCAAGTCTCTGGTGAATATGTCGACACTATTTTAGCTTTTAAATATTATTATATATATTAAATATACATTTATAGTCAACTTTTATCCTCAAAATTAAAAGTACTTGAAAGAAAATTATAAAAATCGAAAAAATATTAAGACTTCAACACCCTGTAGCTACGAAATAAAGCAGGAGCGAAATTAACCATAACTATGAAAGTGTTAGGCAGAGGCTGAAGATTTACCAGTACTGTTGCCACCTCTATTACGCTGGTCTTACATCTATTATACAAGATTTTCATCAATATCGCAATTAGAGCCTGTCCATTCATAATTTTTATTACTGTCTGGAAGGAATTAGAGGAAATATTTGAAAATAGTATTCGAGACCCTTAACGGTCATTCGGCCAACTATTGTAGAGTCCAAAAAGCTTTTTCTGCGACAAGAACAATGGGCACTAAAATTATGTCCCGGTTAAGCGATGATTGCTTTGAAACAAGATTTGTTTCTTCAGAACTTTGCCTTATCAATTAAGGCAAAGTTCTGAAGGTTAAAGGGTTAATAGGTTAATAAGAAAAGGCCCTAATTAATCATATACCTAAGCTAAGTAAATTGTAAATACTTAAATAGCATTTCATACGTTAACTATTTTCTTTAAAATCTAAAGTTATATTTGTTTTTACTGGACATTATACGTGTCTGTACAATGCATTTTGTTACATATTCCTATGATACAATTTTCCTTTTTGAATAATATAGGATTTAGTATTTTTATTTTTTCCATAGCAACTGTTAAAATTGCTTTATATCTATCAAAAATAGTAGATAAAATAGTACTTGAACTGCAAGGGTAGATTAAATGATACTTTAACAGCGAGGATAGGTTAAAAACTTTATTTCTTCTCGCACGTTTTTTAATTGCTTCCATTTTTGAAATTTTTTGTATTCCTTATTAAGTTATTCGGGATTTAAATGGAAGTAGTTTGGATATGGCGTTTGCCGCCTCAGCCTGAATATCTGTTGGTAATTTACTTATTTCGTTTTGAGCCATTTCTGGCTCCAATTCAATCAGCAATCGACATGAAAGAGAATTGAAAAATATTGACTCAAAACTGACAACTAAAGAGACAGCTTTATTTAGAGGCAACACCAACCCAGCACAATATTTTTTCTACTCGTAATAAATTCCTTGAAATAATAATTTCTGAATATTTTTTAAAACGTAACTCGCTATGTAGGCCAGTGCAAATAATTTTGAATTTGCAAAAATTTTTAGAAAGTTGCAGCCATTGAAAATAGTTAGCCTTAGTAATCCTTATTAACATACTAAAAGTCCCCATTTGTCCGATGTGTGCGTCATCAAAAAAAATCGGCCGCAATCTTGAATTTTGGTACTTTTTGGGAAAAAATGTAAATAACTCGAAAACGGCGCGTTATAGCGAAAAAGTTCAAGAGGTAAAAATTAAAGAGAATAAAAAACGTTTATTATCCTAACGCAGTGACGTACAAATTTTTTTTTAAAATCGAGCAATTTTTAAAAGGAATCACCGAAATGCAAATTACTATTTTTTAAGCTTATTAACAAATAACATGGATATTTAGCATCAATTCAATAAAATACAGTCCTTGTGACATTTTCAAGAAATATTTATTGGTGGTTTAATAATATTTCAAAATTAAGAAAAATTGTCAAAGCTATCCTTTACTAAATACATGTGTACTAATAATGTGCGAAAGCAGTCTCCACCTTGTTCCGGTCGGAGATATTTGTACTTAAACCAAGGTATTTTTGTTACCATTTTCTAAACAACTTGTTTTTAAAAATACAGTGACAGTTTGAAAAATTAGGCTACAGGTTGGAAGAAAAAAATGTAATAAACTACTTGCGAATGTCTTTTTGACATAAATATCATCTACGATCTTAACCTAAGATGTTAACACTTTTTCATTATGATAAATACATTATAAACATACCCCTACAAATTGAATAACAATAATTCAAATTATAACCATTTTAATAAAAATGTGTTATCAACTTGTAACCTAACTTTTCAAACTGTCATCTCTAGAAAAAAAAATGAAATTTACAATTTTATTCGATTTGTTCTTCATCGACCGATATTTGTTTGTTCTCGCAAGAAATACCATTACAGTTACCACACAAGCATGAACATGGCATATTGGATTTTAAACATGTACCATTGCGATTAAAAAAAATAGTACAACAAAATATGATTTAATCTGCTGGTCTATTATATTCTTGTGTCAGTGTCACGTAATTTTTAAAAAATGCCTTTAACTTCAGAGCAAAAATCGATTATATTTACGCGATTAAGGGATGGGGTTCCCATAAGGGACATTGCAGATGCATTAGGG